TTCGCACAGCAGTCTATCAAAGCCTTCACGACAGCAACCTGCGACCTCTCTGCGGCAGAGTGTAAGCACATGCATACATTACATTACTTATCCCAGCAAACGTACCGATCAATCCCTTAACCTGCGGTAATATCTCCCCCAAGGCCTCTTCAAGCATATGTTTCTCAAGCCTCTCCAAAATCCTCTGGACAGCGAACCCCGCAGTTTCGTTCCTGGCAAGACTTCCTATCCTTCCTTTGAAGAAGGCGTTGTACAATTTATTGAACACTTTTTTCGGCGCACAGACCACTATTTTCTCTGCAAGATGTGAGCCTACGGGGTCGTAGAGTAAATTATTAAAGAACGATGAAGACTCCGATTCGCCAGATTTCTCGTCCTCAGTACTTATTCCCGTGAGCTTCCCTAGGAGGGTGCCCTCTTTTGATGCTCCCTTTGTCTTTCGATCCTTCCTACTGCGGCCCATTTCTAGTTGCATCAGGACTTGTAGCGTTGGACCGCCAATTTGATGGACTGCCATCGACCGGATTTCCTCCGTTGACATGCTCCCGGCCGTGGCGGCAAGAATTTTTCCTACAGCATCGTGGAATGACTGTGGCACGGGTATCTTTTCTGCTGGTTCTGGGATAGGAGCAACACCAGCTGACAGAGTGATCCTTTCCTTTTTCCTGCTCTGTACCAAATCCGACGACGAAACTGGTTGTCCCGATAGCAAAAGTAGTAACCCTCGGACGATGTGTGAAGCAAACCTATCAGTGCATAAGTGTTTGAGTTGCGGCTCGAGCTCCTGCTCCAATTAGCGCCCACACAAATGTATATTTGTGGTGAAGACATACGCTAAGCATGCACAAGAACGAACTCTCCATACTGGCAAAGAACACGTCTGTTGCCGTGTCATCGACATAATCATCTTGCGTCTCTTTTGAGGCAATCCCCACTGACCGTTGGAACAACATCTCGCAGCAATGCGATGCAAACCGATGCTGCGCTAGGTTCAAGAAACTGCTCCCAGTCAGTCAGCACTTTCTCCAGCTTGGTGGGTCGATCAAAACCTTACTGTCCAGTGAATTTTTGCCAAAGAGATCTCAATTGACTCGGCGAAGACATCAGTATCAGTTTCTCTAGTAGCCTAGAGCACCCTTGGCTATTGGCAATCTTGAGCTCCTTTCCGTCGGCCTCTTTCCAAACGTTTGCAATGAATAGGGCTCTTTCTGCGGTAAAACCATTCCTAAGATTAGCCGTTTCAGACACCCCCAATCAGACAAAGAACTGAGCAATACCATTCTCACCCCCAAACTGGTTCAATTCCAAAATTTCGTCCGCTTTCCGGAAGTACTCCGATTCGTCCTCGGTGAGCAATCCATAAAAATGAGTATCCTCCTCACCCCCGACCTCCCCGCCATCGTACACGCCATAGAAATGTCCTGCCTCCTTCGCTAGTGCAACGACTTGCGGTGTATTTTCGGGCTGCTCCTTCTTCGCTGCTTCCTTCCGCTTCATTTCCGCACGACGGCCGCGCTTTTTGGCTTCTTTCGGCATGTTTTCGGGGGTGCTGGTTCGTTCTGTTGGTGGGTTTGTTTTCTTGAAGTTTGCAAACGAAATTTGTGGTGGGATGATTGTTTGCTTGTTGAGCCGCATTGCGCTAATGCAAGCGAGGCTTGGCACATCATTAGCTCTCACTCGGCATTGTTTCTCATCCTGTTTTAGCGGGCACGTGGAAACGGGCATCCAGGTTGGAGTGGAGAAGTAGTTATTGGTTGGGTTTCGCCTTACCTTTGTCACGAGTTGTACCATGGCTGTTTAAATCGGGCCTGAAATATCTTCAAGATTGAAATTTCTGCATTGATGGGCTGGTTGTAACTAACGTGGTTATATCTACTCGAGTGCTCGCTGGATTTTCGTCGAATGGTGTCCATGCCTTTGAGTGCCAGTACATGGGGAAGGTGTTCTGAACTGCGTCCAAAGGTACCCCGTTGTCTAATCTACGATCAATGCGTAGACACGAACTGCACCTTGGCTGCCAATCATTTGTTGATTCCTAGATGTACAGTACACAGCAGCTGCATTTTGTGGGCCTATGGTGCAGCAGTGCTCTGGGTGGTTTTTGGGTGGAGGACTTGTTAGCTAATAGATTTCACCGTCAGCCTCACCGGATGCCTCCGGTGAAGCAGACTTGAATACAACCACCAAGGTGCAATGAACAGACCAGCAAATCAAGCTCACAACAGTATACTTGTAGATATGTGCGGGGGTAGAGCAGAATGGAGTACTTGATTAGAGTGCGCAAGCACACACGTGGAATGCCATTACAATAGCGGCATACGCTTTTCCAGTAGATACTGTCCTTCAGGTGAACTTTTACCTGTCAGATAGCTCTCTATAGGGTTCGTCCTTCTGAATCATCTCTACCATTGTGGCCGCCCGGGATATTATCAATATTGCTCACCATGCTTATTAACTGACTGAGCATGAACTGTGTGCGGGGGCCTCAAGTAACGTGATGGGACTTTACAGTTTTTGGGACGAAACACTGATCGAAGGGATCCAGATTCCCCTCCCCCCCCCCGGTCTATTCCAGTATGTAGTGACCTGAGGTCAAGCTGTTGTAGCCGACTGAGGTCTCTAAGTTGATAGCTGTTCTAGGGCAATCGCCACGTATTAATCTACTTTACATGTTGCTGTTAACGCCTGTCTATGTCACCCGGGGTATTTAATTTGTACAAGCTTCAAAATGTAACGTTCCTGAGCCGATCTTTTCTGACGCAATGGGGGGAAAAATCTTGCAAAAATCTTTTAGCTTGACGACCAAAAAGATGTGTTTCATGCGCTCCGAGATGTTCCGGCTGTTTGTTTTACGCTTTACCCTTTCCCGGCTGCAAGTGGCCGGCTTGAGTAAATTAGAGAGATGGTGAAACAGGCCTGTGGAATGATAGTCCACATCCTGAAATAGAAGGCCATGTTCCAGGTAAACAGTATCAAATGTCTACTTCACTGCGCTGATTCGCATCCTGGGAATGTGGGGGTTTTGTTGAGGATGAGCTAAGGCTTTTGATACTGTTGTTCGATAAATTTTTTTTAGAGAGGGTCCATGTCCTGTGAACTCTCAAGTATTATGGGGGGGAGTTTGGGTACTTGAACAACTCTGCACTTTCCATGTGTACCACCCGTATTCGGCTGATACTTTGTGATCCCTTGCCCAATGATATTGTGGATATATACGGTCAATGGAAAGAGAGAATACCCTGACAAATCATCATTCGCTGGACCATGCATTGCTCTGCTTCAAGAGTCTAAGCTGCATTGTGCGAAACAGGTTACTGCCACGAGTCTTTCACGACTCCCGCGGCAAAGATATAACTCTCTGCGCATGCTTAGAGAATAGCTAAGTTATTTCACAGTCTGAGCCCCACCGCAATCTAGCGTTCAGTATGTGTTATGGATAAGCCCGTAGAAGCGATACGATATGAAGTAAAAGCAATAATACTGGTGTTTTCAGTGGAGGAGTGAATATTCTGATATCGGGAGAACCCGGGATGAAAACAGATATAAAACGGGAGAAAATTAATAACAAGTCGTCTGTCATATCTATTACTGGCATAGGGGTTCATACCCTGGTACAACTGTCCGGACTTCTGTGTAGGTTGCTTTAGGTATGATATCAAAGGAGGGCTCTGATCAAACCGCCAGTACTAGTATGATAATAGCAGTATTGAAATTTTATTCAGGAGTTCGGCTAATGGCAGTGAAAGCTCCCGTTCGGGACCAAAGGAGAGATTAGGATAGTGAATCCGACTACTCCCAGATCCTCAAATAAAGGATACAAAGACCTCGACTAATTCCGGCGAGTTATCATACCAGAGAAGACAGGCCATCACGGGGGGTGGGGGGGGCTTTCTCGGAACGCCTCCATGTTCTAAATTAATCCTCCCAGCGACCTTTAGGAACCAATACTTTTTGGAGTAAGTTGTGCCGTACTGTTTCAACGGATGCCTCTTCACTCGAGCCAAAAGTATCACCAGGGGAAATAGAACCAGAGTCATGAGTAGTAATGCCATGGGCGGGGGAGTGGTTCAAAATATCTCTTTATGGGGAGGGAATATTTTTCCTCAATTAGAGCAGGTTAAATCGTCGACCTTGACTATATGACTTTAGGAACAAGAGAAGAATATTATAGGTGGTAGTCATGTGGTTATGCTGTCCTTTGGAAGTCATAATATTTCATATCATGTTAGAAGTAAGCTTTTTGTACTATCTTCATCGGAGTGTGCTCTTCTGTCATTATTTACCAATACATTTACGGAGGGTGATTCTTGTGGCCATATTTCTGGCATTCCTCAATGCCAAGTGTCTACATTCAACACAAAATCGATCACCCAAAGGCCATTGTATTGAGGATGATTAGTTGAAGGCTTATATCATAACTTCTTTGATATGAGAGCTGGGGGAAATTTTCAAAGATATGATACTAATTGATACAGTCGATCAAAATCAAATGTACTTCAAGTTGATGTACAAATAAGCATCACTGTGCAAAGAAAACTACAAATCCAATACACTTAAGACTACAAAGGTTGAGTAACTATGCCCTACTTAAGTGAACTTCAGGTAAACCTTTGAGTCAGTATATCCAAATGTCAAAAAGGGAAAGATGGAATTTATAAAATTTAAAGTAAGCATACTAGTTCGTATCATACCATAGGATAACGAAAATTGTGAAATCATATGGATAAAGCAATATATAAAAGATATTCTAACCCTGGTAATCTGGCCCTTCTGGTACCATGAAAGCATGTAAAAGTCATTTCATATGGATAATGGAGGACTTGAATGGGGATGCTGTCTATAGAGTAAATTGGGCTTGGGAGATTCTTGAACTATTTTTTTCCTTCTATTAATACACCATCTATTCAAACTTTGTCGTGCCTAGAACTCTCTAGAGGCCATTTCATACTCCTGCTCTACCCTTGCTCTCACTTCCGCTCTCACACCTCTTCCTCCCTCTTTCCCCTCGGTTTTGCTATCCCCTATGCTCAGCAGAGGCTCTTCACACTGGGAACGAGTAGTAATCTATTTCCAGCCAAAGAAGTACACCTTTTTTTTTTTTTTTTTTCCTTCCCTTTTCTTTTCAGGATCTCATTATTTTCCTAATTAGATCTATCGAACGTAGCACATTGAGGATTAAGAGAATACCCATGATGTAATAATCTATTTAGTTTTCTTGGGATACGGCGAGAGATTAGTGTGAACTTCCTTCTCACTATTGCGTATACTGGAGTGTGCATGCAAGCATGTGCTCCATATCATGGGTTGCGTCATCAGGATAGGATATATTCATATCGTTCATGTTCCGCTTAGCTAGCTGTTGAACTTAAGAAATAAAAAATTCCGCTGCACAGGAAAACTTCCAATTTTTACAGTAATGGCGCCTACTATTCATTCCCTCCTACGCACATATATTTTGGGGGGGGGGGCGAGAAGCGTATGAATTAATTGTGTTGGACTTAGTCCCTGTCCGCCGTACAGAGGTAGTTCTTTCTTTTCCTTTAGTCAAAAGACTTTTGTTCGTTTTCTCAATCTGTGACTATGCCTGATCTAATTATAAGTGGTTTACCGCATTGGGTACCTCTTATAGTTGGATGTCGGAATAAGGGTATCACTACTGTGTCATATTGAAAAGGTGGCTACTGCCTGGTGTTGAAAGGTGGCCTATATGGTATAGGCTACAGTGTTCGGTATGACTGCTTAGTGGATGTAGTATATTAGTATCTCTTCTCGTTTTGCATTTGGAAAATCAAGCTTCTTCTCTCCTACTCCGGGAACACACACACTCACAGGTTATGAGTCCTTAAGCTTCCTGATTTTGTTATCAGCGCTCTGCCTATTATACTACATCTTTTATTTCTCTTCTCAAGGCTACTCGATATTTCTATCTCCTTGCCTTTACTATTCTATTCTATTCTATTCTATTCTATTCTATTGAGTCATGTTGTTGACTCCAGCTACAACAGGTAGTACTACTGAGGGCACCCGGGCCCTCAAGTGTCCCCTTCTTACAACCCACAACTGGACTTTATGGAAGTATCATATGGCCAACCACCTCCGTGCGCAGCAGCTATGGGATGTTGCTGACCCTACTGGCTCCGGATGAAAGGCCGCTGCAGAGGCAGCAAAGGAGACTCGGGCAGCCATGAAGGCCACTGCTATTGCATCTACAGATGACTTACTTAGGGCTGCAAAGACCTTAGACCTTATCGAATCACACATCAGCGAAGAACTTCTCTCTATGCTCTTGTCTATAAATAGTCCTAGGGAGGTTTGGGTTTTTCTTACTTAATGGTTTGAAGCCAACTCTATTACTCATGAGAGCGCTATCCAGCTGCAGTTTCTGAGTTTGCGTCTGCGCTCTGGGCAAATGATTGATAGCTATATTGCTGAGGGTAACAATCTCTTCTTTCGGCTGACCTCTGTTGGGATCAATCTTTCCCGCTTACAGCTCATTAATCAGATTTTGGATGGTCTCCCGAAATCTTATAATCAACTCGTGGACACTATTTGTATATCCCTCACCCTCACTCAGCAAGTTAGTTTCATGCTGGTCCACCACACACTTGCGGCTGAGGAATTGCGACAGGCTACTGAACGACCCAATAATCCTCATAATGCTCATACAGCACTTTATGTGAGCGGTGCTAAGAGCCAGAGTTCGACTTCCGGAAAAGTTCCATATC